CCCTACTCTGGGATTGGTCTGAAATCTGAACCTCCCAACAGAAGAGTTTGAGACCCCTGGCGAAGAAAATGATTTAGCCTGGGACTGAGCATGTTTTCGCCTCCACTCCTTACTGAGCCTAGAGTGCTTATGAACCGTAGGAGTTACCGAGATGGCCTCCTCCCTACCCTAACCAGCACTCACAACCATGGCCTCCACATGGGCTGCTGCCTCGACTAGACTATAATAATCCTTCCCAAAGGATCCAGCTACCCTCTCCCGAATATCGAAACACAACCGGCTTTCAAACTCATAACAACGACACTTCTCTGTTGCCATCAACTCTGGAGTAAACCTCGACAAACTGGTAAACCGTATCTCAAACTGTGCCACAGGAGTAGCATCCTGACACAACTCAATAAACTGTTCTCTCAACCTTTCCCGAGCAGAAGGAAGGAAATACTTGGCCCAAAAGGCCTCGGTAAAAGCAACCCACGTGTTACCTACAGTATTCTTAGCATACTTCCACCAATAACTCGAATCTCCTTTCAATTGAAAAGTCGCCAAAGAAACCCTCAACTCCTCATCTTCGACTCTAAGCATATCAAGAATCTTGGTAATCTGCTCTAACCAACTCTCTGCCTCCAACGGTTTGGCTTCCCCCACAAACTCTGGTGGGCTGGAGCGAAAGAACTCCTTAGTAAGCTTGAGGGTATGCCCGCTGTCACCCTCAGTGCGAGCTAGAGTGTCCTGCATTTCTCTCACAATCTCACGGGCAACGTCCTCGCCAACAACCGATGCTGCAACGGCGGGTGCTAAAGGAACTGTTGTGCCTCTACCGACACTCCTACTACTCATCCGTCCTCTACTCCCTCATGTAGACATCCTATAAAACCCAAAACAAAACCACACTTAGTGCTCAACACAATAGCCTTCCCGAGGCCCACACTTACTACTCTTAAGTCACAAGACACACTTAGCCTCAAGACATATATTACGATTGCATATAAACATCTAAACATTTAAACACATAACCGAATCAAGTCCACAAAGATAGCCACTCATCCCGGAACTCTCAAGGAAATCCTACCAGAATCCACGTTGATCAGGCGCGTTTCCAAGAGGACCTCAAAGCAAGTTCACCGGCTATGAATACTATCCAGGAAACTCAATCCCATGCTCAAATAAATGCATAATACAAGTCCTAACATTCATGTTAACTATATGCAACGTCCTCACCATATGTAGTACACCCACTGTGGTAAAAATCACTTCCCACGAGCCCAAAGTATTCAAACCCGGCTTGCTCTGATACCAAGTTGTAACGCCCCACTTTTTATTACTCGAAGTTATTACCAAATTCATTAACTTAATTCAAGTTCAGAGATAACATGCAAAAATAAACTCTTTAGTCCCATGAGTAGAAATAAATAACAATTCTCTCATCCGAATGCAAATTAAATACAACATGAGCATACTGAATAAAATGTCTGAAGGCTTACATCATTAAAGAATCAAAAAGAAGGGTGTAACCCTTTTACATATATGGTATTCCACCAACATAAAAGAGGCCCCATGGCCAACAAATAAGAAGATCCACATCTTGTAGCACATCCTGCTTAACACTTGAAAAAGATTCAACAACGTGGGATGAACATATAGTCCAGTAGGGATCTCAACATGGCTCTCAACAATAACAATTTACAGATAGCTATGATCATGAATGCCCAATCTCATACTAGATTAATAATGTGGCGGTTTATACAAAATATACAGAAGTATGAACTTTTCTCGAAAACAGCCATTTCATTCAACGCTATAAGCGATTCATCTTTCTTTTCTTTTCACTACCCTTTGTTCCCAAACTTTCACAACAATAACGACTTCTTAGAAAATCAATTTCTCTAAGCCCATTACCTTTCTCCCATTTTCCATACTTACAACAGATTTTTCCTTTTCCAAAACATACTTTCAAATACCAAATTTTCCTTCACACTTTCCCAAAATCTCACAATGGCATTTTGGTTTGTTCCCAATACATTCATATCTATACATGCATGCCTTCAATAAAAGGGAGATAACAAATCATCAACACGTATATAATCAACAAATAAGGCAACTCGGCCCTCCAAAACTGTAACCATCACAATCCATAATATACTCAGATACACTGAGACAAAAATAATAAAACTCTGCTCTACCGGCTATATGCACAGTAAGCCAAGGATACAACTCTCACAACGGTATGCCATTTTACTGGGCACTGGCTAGAAGGGTGTGGTACCTTAGATTCTCAGCGCAGTCAGTTCTCCAGGCGCTAGCTGGAATGTAACGATACCTCTGATTATAAGCGTAGGGCATAACATCCATAATCACAATACAACAGAGTATAACCAACGAGTGTAATACATACACATACACATAAACTATCAAGATACATGAGCAATGTGTTAAAGTATATGAACACATAGGTATGTGTGGAGTACATCCCCTATCTCCTCCCACACACTGGAGTACATCCCCTATCTATTCCCTAACAATTATACATATATAATGTATCATAACACTTCATTACATACAATGTTCAATCAACATAGGTGTAATGCATACACGACAATTCAACACAACCATGTCATCCTCCACCAATGACCAAGGACAAAACCTCTAGATGCATGTATTCAGTACATCTATTAAAAGACTCAACTATCGTGAGATCTTAAACTCAACAACAACGCTAGTATGATAAGTAAAGGTAAAACCCCAAATGTGTGTATTCAATACTCAAGATACCATATTTCAATTTCCAAATTCATTTTCCATTTCAAAATTGACTTGTTCCACTACTTATTCCAAAACACTTTCCCCATTTCACGGAAGCAATATCATTCCTTTCATTTCACAAAACCAATTTCATTATTTCATAACTCTTCAAATCAATTACGCAAATTAATTCATAACAGTAAATTAGGACTTTTCTCCCTCTTTCTCAATATTGACCAAAAAGGCTCAAATACCAACAACAAATAGCAATGATCACATTTGAGACCCAAAATACATATGTATTGGCCCAAAGAACAAAACCCCTCTTTCATTTTATCAAATCAAATATAAATTAGAGCTTTTTCTTCTTTAAACAATGATATACTAATTTACACCCCAATTAGTCCAAACCACAATCAATGATAATAAACCCATTTTCAAACAACCAACCCTAGGTTCACCCTCATGATTTTCAAACAAACCCAACATGGATATGATTTTCATGCAATACAAAATTACCACATATCTATCTATAGACGAAGTATTGTAAAAGAACAAGGAAATCTCTACCTGAAATGGAGAAGATGAAGAATTTTGAAATGCTCCAAACCTCAAGATTTTCGAATTGATAGGAAGCCCACACCAAGCTCTACACTTTTTACAAAGGCCCAAGGATAGAAGATCACTCCTACTAGATCAAACCCTATAGAGAAGTTGGAGTTTTTAGAGTGAGGTGCACTCCAATGGAGGTTTTGAAAAAGTAGGAGAGAGAAAGAAAGTCAAAAAGTGATCCGAAATGTCACTTTTTCAGACTGATATAAAAGTCTCCCCGCTCGAGTGTCAAAATCGCCGCTCGAGCGTCGATTGCACACTTCCAGAAGTTTTGCAGACCATGGTCCCCGCTCGAGCGTCAGACTCCCCGCTCGAGCGGAGGAACAAAATCAAAAGGGCCCGCTCGAGCGTCAAAACTCCCGGTCGAGCGTACGATGACCTGCAGAGAAAATACTGGGAGATGAATATTCATGCTCGAGCATCAAAACACCCGCTCGAGCAGATAAGCAACAACAAGGGGCCCGCTCGAGCGTTAAAAGCCTTGCTCGAGCGTGAAGGCAAAAATCTGGGCAACAACCCTGGGTTTCGAAACACAACCAACCTGTTACGAACCTGCCCAAAACATCCTATAACTCAAATACAAAGTATTGAAGGACGGAAACAAGCTAAATACAACAACCCACATCTACAGAACCAAGTTCAGAACACAATATACTCAATGGAGGGAAAACCGGGATCGCTATACTTGGCCATGATTTGTGCTAGTAAAATGCTAACTTTGGGGCTGCCTTGCTTCTGTCTTTACATTCCATGTAAGGGCTCCGGCGGTAGTGAACACAACTACCGCGCGAATAAACCAGTACCTTCCCACAGACGGCGCCAACTGATGATGTATCGCTTCCCGGGTGGATGGGTCGGACCGGCCCAGGTTCTCCAGATCCGGCTCAGGAAGGCTGGCTCCGTCAGATGACCTGCAAGCAAGTTCAGGGGGGGGAACGGGGTAGTCCCCCAGTGAACCCTCCGGTGCAAGAATTAGAAGAGCAGAGTATGAAAAGACTGTATATCGAGAGATCAAGAGAGAGAGCAACCTCACCTCCTTTTTCTTTCTCTTATCCTTGCTTATATCCTTTTGTCATCATTTTTCCTGTCTCTTGTGACGTGCTTTTTCCGCCGAAAGCCTGTGCCATAGCTCATCTTGTTTAGGGTGATGGAGGCTCTGTTCCGGCGGGGAGTGCTGTTGTAATAAATGCTGTGATGGGTTGCATTAATGGTGATGTGTTGTGATAATAACTCTGCAGATCTTTGTCTGCTGATGTGGCCCGTGTCCCACCTGCCGTGTGCCTAAATGCCGTTGGCCCTTCATGTCTAGGTGGCCTCCAGCTGTTCTGGGCCTTGTCAACCGGGTTGTGCCATTGGCCCCAAGCGATGGGTTCGGGGTGGTTTGCCGTGGGCCGTATGCCTTGTGGGCCTATCCATGTCAAAAGGTATCAATAAAAATAAAATAAAAAACAAAAAATTAGCACCCCAAATTCCTTTTGATATAGACTTAACATGAACAATATCCAGAGCTTCCCGAAGAGTGAGAAAAGACATATATAAATCAACCCCTATTTCTAAACTTGAAAGGGAAAGGGAAAAATAAGACTCTAAAAGCATTGACAGTTATAATTGTGCTCATAATAATAAGAACAAGGACAAGAGGAAAATACCATTAGAATGCAAAACTGTTCAACATCATCAACCCCAGAAATTAAATAGCAATCGCTTTGCCTCAACTATTTATATTCATTTGCACTTTTCAAATTCAACTTCAACTTCTCTGTGTTACAAAGCAACAAATTGTAAAGAATAAATTGCATCCTTCCCTTTCTTTAAGCTAATTATATTCTTAAACCAATCTCCAGAGTCCATTACTGATTAAATTGCAGAATTTAACTTAATAAACCCCAGTAGAAAAATAAAACAGAGTTCTATAAGAGTAGCAGTAAGGTACAATTCTTTCTTCTACTTGAATTATTTGTCAAACTAGAGTTCAATTTCTTCTTTTTTTGTCATTCAAAGGAAGAACCAAGCTAACATTACGATTAACTTTTGATTGTTTATTCTCATACACATTCAAAAAATAAATAAATAGGCAACGAGGCTTGCACAATACTATCCTTTTCCTTTGAAGCAGAGCAGCATCTTTGGACACACAACTTATTGGGTTATTAACAAAAAAAAACAAAAAAATTGAAAAACAATTTCATACTAGAGTTGAAGTGCAAAAGCCACACACACCACACAAAAATGGGTTGAGAAGGAAAAAGAAAGAAAGAGGTAGAAATAACCTCAACAGAGAATTCTAAGCAAGGAATCCATGCCTGGCAAATAAGGTAATCAACTTCTTTTCCCAATTGTACAAGACAGAGTGGAGGAAGGTAAGATAGGGTCCCGAACTTCTTCAATCCAAGTGGAGGCCACACCTACACTTAATTACAACCAATTTCATGCTCAAAACACTTTCTCCTCAATCTAATCAACTATATATATATATATATAATACAATTAACGCATTCAGTTTCGTTTTCAAATATTGTTCTTTTCTCGATAAAAATGATAAATAAAAATTGATAAAGAAAACTTGTTATGGCTCCTCAAAGATTCTAGAACTTGAACTCTTTTCCCACCAAATATTCCAAGCCACCCAATTAGCCAAAGCCAAATCCAAAACAGACATTAAGAAATAGTGTAAAGGCATAAAAGATGGTTAAATAATTCAACTTTATTGATATATGTCAAGTAGAATTGACCCAGTTCATTCTATTAGTTCAGTAGTTTTCAACTAGTGTTGAATTGGATCTAAAAGTACATCAATCAAACAATCACCAAAACCAATGATCCAAATTCAGAGTTTATCATCACTATCCATTTCAGAGTTTGTCCACACAATCCACACATCAAACACATTCAATACACAACAAAAACACAGAAAAAAAGTTAGAAATTGAAATGGGTACTCACCAGAATGGCCTTATGGGCAAAGACGAGAACAAGGTTAGACACAGGTTTACCGGAATCGTCATCGGAAGCGGCTAAAACGATGTCAGAGAAGCAAGGAGTAAAGCGATGGTGATAATGATCGAAGGGAGTCCAGAATCTGAGGAAGGGGACTTTGGACGTGAGATCTTCGATCTCGCGTTTGAGCTCTTTCTCGGTCTCGCTGGCTTTCTCATAGCACTCCCTACAAGTGCCAGCGTCGCGTGGCTCATATTCGTCTCGTCAAGACAGAGAGATGAAAGAGGATGAGAGAGAAAAGTGAGAGCGTGAGACATTTTATATATGGTTTTTGGCGACTAAAATTTTTTAGTTGCTGAAAGTATTTTAAATAAATCCCTCCAAAATATTTGAAATGTCTCTCTCCAAAAATTTTAGTTTTTTGGCAACTAAAATTCTTTTTTGTCACTGAAAATAAACTTAGGTAAAAAATAATTTTTTATTTTCTATTCGGCAACTAAATGGCTTTAGTAGTCAAAACTCAATATATAGCGACTAAAATTTTTTTTGTCGTTGCAAATAAACTTTTGGTGACCAAAATTTGGTTGCCAAAGGTAAAAAATAATTTTTTATTTTCCATTCGGCAACTAAATGGTTTTAGTGGCCAAAACTCAATATATGGCGACTAAAATTCTTTTTTTGTCACTGGAAATAAACTTTTGGCGACCAAAATTTTGGTCACCAAAAGTAAAAAATGATTTTTTATTTTCCAATCGGCGACTAAATGGTTTTAGTAGCCAAAACTCAATATATGATGACTAAATTTTTTTTTTGTCCCCAATTTTGACATTTTTAGCGACTAATTTTTTTTTTAGGCGCCAATAACCTATATGCCCTGACTAAAAAAAATTAGTGGCTAAATATTTTACTTTTGTCGACTAAAAAAATTTTTGGTCACCAATTATTCCACAACGTTTGGCGACTAAATTTTTTTTAGTCACCAATGTTGATCGCCGAAGGTGCATTTTGTTGTAGTGATTTAACGAGCTAATAATTCTTTTATATAATATATATTATACTAATGCTATATTTTCCTGTTGTGGGAGTTGTAAAACAGTAAGTCTAGGCACCATGGAAATCATTTCATAAAATCTATCTCAAAACTTTGCTGATCAACTGACTCTATTAATCCTGGGTTGTGTCGATCAACCGGTCAATTGATCATAACATAATTTCATGTAAAACTTGATGATCTTAACATTGTTAGTTTTGTCGTTCCAAAAAAAAAAAAACCATATTTGGTTATAAATAAATAAATAAATCTTTTTATTTCCTTGAAAAATATAATGATCGAAGGGAGTCCAGAATCTGAGGAAGGGGACTTTGGACGTGAGATCTTCGATCTCGCGTTTGAGCTCTTTCTCGGTCTCGCTAGCTTTCTCATAGCACTCCCTACAAGTGCCAGCGTCGCGTGGCTCATATTCGTCTTGTCAAGACAGAGAGATGAAAAAGGATGAGAGAGAAGAGTGAAAGCGTGAGACATTTTATATATGGTTTTTGGCTACTAAAATTTTTTAGTTGCTGAAAGTATTTTAAATAAATCCCTCCAAAATATTTGAAATGTCTCCCTTTAAAAATTTTAGTTTTTTGGCAACTAAAATTCTTTTTTGTCACTGAAAATAAACTTAGGTAAAAAATAATTTTTTATTTTCTATTTGGCAACTAAATGGTTTTTGTAGTCAAAACTCAATATATAGTGACTAAAATTTTTTTTTGTCGTTGCAAATAAACTTTTGGTGACCAAAATTTGGTTGCCAAAGGTAAAAAATAATTTTTTATTTTCCATTCGGCGACTAAATGGTTTTAGTGGCCAAAACTCAATATATGGCGACTAAAATTCTTTTTTTGTCACTGGAAATAAACTTTTGGCGACTAAAATTTTGGTCGCCAAAAGTAAAAAATGATTTTTTATTTTTCCTTCGGCGACTAAATGGTTTTAGTAGCCAAAACTCAATATATGGTGACTAATTTTTTTTTTTAGTCGCCAATAACTTATATACCCTGACTAAAAAAAATTAGTGGCTAAATATTTTACTTTTGTCGACTAAAAAAATTTTTGGTCACCAATGTTGGTCGCCGAAGGTGCATTTTGTTGTAGTGATTTAACGAGCTAATAATTCTTTTATATAATATATATTATACTAATGCTATATTTTCCTGTTGTGGGAGTTGTAAAACAGTAAGTCTAGGCACCATGGAAATCATTTCATAAAATCTATCTCAAAACTTTGCTGATCAACTGACTCTATTAATCCTGGGTTGTGTCGATCAACCGGTCAATTGATCATAACATAATTTCATGTAAAACTTGATGATCTTAACATTGTTAGTTTTGTCGTTCCAAAAAAAAAAAAACCATATTTGGTTATAAATAAATAAATAAATCTTTTTATTTCCTTGGAAAATTTGGTGAAAAATTCATTTTTTTTGGTATTTATGGCATTAGATTTAAGAATTATTTTGTTTTGATGATAAGACATAATTAATAAAATTATTTAGTGAGAATGACTAATTATTATTTTGAAGGACTTTTTTAAAATTATTTTTACTCTACTACAGCCAGACTGCTAGATGACAATGAAAAAAATCGATAAAAGTGGTTAACGACAATGGCCGACAGTATTGGTGGTGATGATATGGACAAATATGCATGGTGGACAAATAGAAAATGACATGGTGAAAAAATAAGTGATGTAAATAGAGAAGTGAATAATAAATAAATATACAAATAAATAAAGATGATATAACATTTTAAATTATTATTGTTCATTTGTTCCTAAAAGAATAGACCTTGATATTATTAAACAAAAAAGCTTAAAATGAAATTAATGGGAAATTTTACTATACACACCCTTGGAAGGGTGTACCATATTATGCATTCTTAGTCATTTTCTTTTTTAGCTATGACAATATTTTAGTTATGCTCATAAAATTTTTGATTATGTCTCATATGGTATTTGGTTATAACTTCTTTTTCTCTAGTTATGACTCAAAAAGTATGAAATTATAAACCACAGGAGAGGTCTCTGTATTTGTCAGAAACCTCAGGGGAGGTAAATGTAATTTACCCAATTATTATTGTTCATTTGTTCCTAAAAGAATAGACCTTGATATTATTAAACAAGAAAGCTTAAAATGAAATTAATGGGAAATTTTACTATACACACCCTTGGAAGGGTGTACCATATTATGCATTCTTAGTCATTTTCTTTTTTAGCTATGACAATATTTTAGTTATGCTCATGAAATTTTTGATTATGTCTCATATGGTATTTGGTTATAACTTCTTTTTCTCTAGTTATGACTCAAAAAGTATGAAATTATACAATTTTCTTCTTTAATTATAAGTTACCTAGGTGTGTACATAGTCTTTTCCATAATAACCGAGTGCACTCTTTCTTTTCTTTTTAAATAAAAGATGAACTAACGGGCGGTACACACAATGCGTGTGCAATAAAAATAAATAATAAAGAAATTGATATCATAATATGTTAGTTGCTTAATGGTAGGTATGTTTTTAATGAAATCCAAGATTTTTGAGTTCAAACCTGGCTTTTAGACACCAAATTTAGTGTTCACGTATATAATAATATAAATAGATAGAAGATAAAAGAACAACAAAGCACAAAACTTTTCAAATTCACAAAGACAACTTTATGCCAAAAAAATCCCTCAAAATCGATAGTGGAAAACCTTCTTTTTTTATACTGGGCAAATTTTAGTTATTGTAATATAGGAAAAAAAAGTATTTTTAGCAACGTTTTTGTTAGTCACCAAAAGTGTAATTTTCTTAGCTGGATCATCAAAGCCATATCACTAAATGATTCCGCGACCAAATAAATTGTGGTCATCTTATAAATAAATCGGCGACCAAATATTTTAGTCGCCAAACACCAAAAAATTCATCGCCGTAAATTAACATTTAGTGGCTAAAAGTAGCCTTAATCGGATAAAAGTAGCCTTAATTGGTTGCTGAATGTCAAAATCTTTTACCGACCAATCAAGTTTTTGGTTGGTAAAAATTCATATCCTATTCACCATAGACTTTTAACAACAAAAAAAAAGTGTCACCAAAAGTAAATTCGCAACTGAAAAATCTATCACCAAAAATTCATTATTTATATATATATTTTTTTACAATTTTCCTATTCAATACATAATTCGTGAACCTATAAAAAAATAATCAAAACCCAAACTTACTTTTGTACATCGTTTCTACACATACATGCAATCAAAACAAATTAACACACTTGTGCAAAGCATTCAAAATATAAACTTAATTCAAAAGTAACAGGCATATTAAACATAACTAAAATATAAAATCCAAAACATCCAGTATAAGTACAAATATCTTACAATCTAAAACTTCAAACAGGTCACAATGAATTCCTAAAAAACTTCCAAGCTTGCAAATTCATAACAAAATCTTATGACAAAATATATTCAAAAACTCAAAATGTAATCCTCTGATGTTTCCCGAACTACGTTCCGTCCATCGTCAATCTGTCAAACATATGAAAAAAATTACAATATTAAAATGTGTAGCAATAAAATGCTTGGTCTCAAAATTGTGATATACCAATTAGAGTGTTTCTACTTAAAATTGCCAAATTTAACTCTACTATTATGCACAATGCAATAAAATCTACAAACCCAAAGTAGATTAATTAGCATCCTGCAAGTGAACAATCCCAATATCTAACATGCAAAAAAAGTAAATACACTAGAAAACAACATTAACTATCTTTCAATATTTTGCTGAGTACAATTAGGAGGAAATTAAGTGTTATGTGAAATCCAAATTTAGCATCAATAATAACATAATAGAACGGTCAGTACCAGTGTTATGGAAAGTTTAGATTTATCATCAAGGCAATAGATACCTTGATTTCAGATGTGGATGCCATTTCAACAGATGATATGGACTCCAAAAGCCTACAGAACGATGGAAATTTCCAGACTCCAACTCATTTAGCTATGCTATAAACAGTAATGAAATTAACATTACTTTAGGAGCAGATTCAAACCGAAGGCATAGAAGAAATAGAGAAAGAACTTGAGAGAGAGAGAGAGAGTGAGAGAGAGAGAGAGAGTACCTTGAATGATGGAGTAATAGCAACATTATTCATCCTAATCTTTGGTTGATCACAAGTATCATCAGCAAGTGCAATCCAGATTGTATCTTTTCTTTTCTTGCCCTAAACACCATAGGGTAAATCATAAGATGTATTGTTAGAACC